TGCCCAGCCCCTACCTGCATGCATTAACACACTGCCTGCAAGGACATCTGCAAACAGGACTGAGAAGGCACTGAAAACCCAGCCCATACACCTCTTACTCACTCTAAAGTCTTTCTGATTCTTCTGCTTGGATCACAGGTCCATCGAGGCAACATTCATCTGCAACAAGGCTGCTCTTTTCTAGAACATTTGCAGCATCCACACTGAGACTCCAGGCTCACCAGTGCCATATGACCAGGGTCTTGGGCACAAACCCTTGTGCTTAGGTTGAACCAGAAAGGACAATCATCCTTATATGCACAGTGGAACACGTGGCTGTATGTAAGGATCAAGGGTGTAAACACAGAATCATGGAATGGTTTGGGTTGGAAGAGATCTTATACATCACCCAGTTCCAACCCCCCTGCATGGGCAGGGACACCTCCCACCAGCCCAGGTTGCTCCAAGCCCCATCCAACCTGCCCTTCAACACTACCAGGGATGGGGCAGCCACAGCTTCTCTTTAAAATGTGCTCCAGTTCCTCTCCACCCTCACAATGAAAATTTCCTTTTGATTGTCTAACCCAAATCTCTCCTCTTCCAGTTTTAATCCATTACCCCTTGTCCTATCACTACAAGCCCTTGTCCCAAGCCCCTCTCCAGCTTTCCTGGAGCCCCTTCAGGCACTGGAAGGTGCTCTAAGGTCTCCCTGGAGCCTTCTCTTCTCCAGGCTGAACACCCCAACTCTCCCAGCCTGTCTCCAGAGCAGAGCTGCTCCAGCCCTCCCATCATCAGACATGTCAGTGTTGGGGTTCATTACAGCTACTGGAAACCCAGCCAAGGCTATTTGGGATGTTACTCACCACAGCCTATGGATGACACCTACCTCCTGGTCAATCCTCCCAGCTGCTTGTGCAGCCCTGCAAGCCCAGCCTGAGTCCTTGCACCAGCCATGCAGCATGGAGAAAGAAAGGCAGGGCTCAAGTCTTCCAAGCAATCACTTCACAGTTTTACATGAGAGACAGCAAATGCCATGACACACAGACCAGGGAGACGAGGCACTTCGAGTCAGATATGATGGACAGCTTTTTATTTCCCAATGTTTTAATTTAACAAAGTGCTACATTCCATAGTTACAGTATGAGGAGTTGCTCTTGTCCGAAATAGAAAAACCACAAGAAAGCATGAGGACTGCTAATATCACCCCATGGAAGCAGAGCAGTCCAGAGAAACCTCACCTAGGTGAACATCTGGCATGAGAGACACCTCTACATTCAGCAGTGCAGGTGCATTTTATCGGGGCAAGAGCTGCATGTCAGGCAGGCTGGTTCGTCCAGCTGGAAACAGGGCTGTGGGTGCTGAAGCAGTTGTGTGATGCCTACAAGAAATTCTGGCTTGTGCTATCAGGAAAACCCAAAGCAGAGGTGAGTGACTCTTCTGGTGCCAAGTCCAGAGGTTATTATTATTGCTGCAGCAAAGTCACTGTGGCAGCTGTGCCTTTGCATGGGGTCAGGGCTGCCTCAGCAGTGTCATAACCCACCTTCAGGGACTTGCAGTTCACCTGACATGGAGGATGAGGAGGGCCCCTGTTGGCTGTTCTTCTTCCCCTGCCTCTTTCATAAGAACCTGCTTGTTTGGCAATGCAGAGCTACAGATTAAATCTGCAGAGCATTAAGAGACTGGAGGCTTCAGCCCCCACCTGAAACCCTCCTCCCCTCCCTGCCTGCAATCTGGCCATGTCAAGCAAATGAAACTCCAGGAGTTGTATGGAGAACAGTTTAAGAGCCAAATCCAAAGTCTACTGGCCTTGGATGAGAAGGGAAGGAGCTGAATGATGCTTGTGCTTTCAGGACCTGCAGAAATCGGACTGATGTCAGGGGCACTGCAGAAAACTGTGCTCCAAAGGCTCCTACAAGCTTCACTGGGACCCAAGGCTGCTTTTGACTGTCCTTGCCTCCACACTAAGAAGAACTAAGCTGAAGACACGGGGAGCCTTCTCTTCTCCAGGCTGAACACCCCAACTCTCCCAGCCTGTCTCCAGAGCAGAGCTGCTCCAGCCCTCTCTGACCATCTCCGTGGCCTCCTCTGGTCTCTCTCCAACAGCTCCATGTCCTTCTTGTGTTGGAGGCTCCAGAGCTGGACCCAGCACTGCAGGGGGGTCAGTTCTTGGGTCTCTCAGGCTATAGACACATCCAAAGGACTCAGCCAGCCCAGCTGCCTTCCTTTCTGCTGCAAGACAGACTCCCTCCTGCAGAGAGGCCAGTGCCCTTTGTCACTGCTTGTTGTCCAAGCCTCCCTGGCTAGACCAGGGTGAAGCATTTCAAGAACATCTGGCACCTGCCTGTGTAGTCTTGTTCCCAGCCTGCCTGGCTCCATATGTAAAAGTCAAGCCTTTCTGGAGATGATCTCAAGAAGGCTGGAACAGAGGAAAAGTCTTTCCACCTTGCCACCCTTATCAAGCCTTGACAGGAACATAAAATCAAAGAGTCCAAGGGACAATATTTCCTGACTCCTAAAACTGCAAGAGAACCAGCAATGTTCAACTGGACTGTTTAAACCTCCTGATCACCTCCAAGCTCCAAGGGACTTAGGGATGAGAAGGAAATTGTGAGAGAGTAGTAATCTGGAAGGAAAAGTTCCTCTGAGCTTGCACTTGTTTCTGAAGAAAGAGGCTTCAATTTTGGGTAGAGGCACCTGGATTTAACACTGGGCTGCCAGTTGGTGCCTGCTAAAGATGTGGGGCTGCTTTTAGCAAGGCAACATTCTCCTGGTCAAAGTTTCAGGAATGTAAAAGGGAGAGATGCACACCCTGTGGAGCCTGGCCCAGAGGGATTAGAATGTGAAGGCTCTTCAGGATGTTGACTGATCAGGTTTTACTGTCTCTTTCCCAACCTACTTTCCTTGCACTCAGCAGGATAAATGTGTGAGGAATCACACACAGCTCTTCAACAGAAAGACCAGAATTAGTACCAGCATTTTGAAACCAGCTTGTCCCCCTGTCCTTTTCCAGGTGACTCAGTAGATGTGTGGGTAAGGCCTGCAGAAAAGCACCTGGGCTCTAAAGAGCTCTGCTTGTTCAGAGCTGAACATCACATCTGACAACTTAATGTCCAGAGGAGACCCTGAAGCTCTGAAGAGAGAACTCAGCTTCAGGCAGCTCTTCCAAATGTCCTCTCTACCTTGCAAACCCACTCACATGCCCACGAGACATTTGCTTACCACCATCTACATCACAATCTGAAAGGCCTTTTCATCTTTACAAGGGATGAAACCCTGCATGTGCCCTTCCTCAAATTCTCCTCCCATCCACATAGAATCACAGACTGGTTTAGGTTGGAAGGGACTTTCAAGATCATCCAGTCCCAACCCCCTGCCATGGGCAGGGACACTTCCCACCAGCCCAGGTTGCTCCAAGCCCCATCCAACCTGCCCTTCAACACTGCCAGGGATGGGGCAGCCACAGCTTCTCTGGGCAACCTGGGCCAGGATCTCACCACCCTCACAGAAAAGAATTTCTTCCTCAGATCTCACTTAAATCTTTGAAGACTCAGTGGGATTTAATCTCAGTACATGTGTGGTCTGACCGTATTTGTCTAAGGAGGTGTCTTCTGGCAACAGTCATAGTTCCTTGTATGAAGGATGACTCCTCACAGAACAGTGACTCCCACCTCAGAAACACAGATATGCTGCATAAATATAAACATTGAAGTCATTTCACAGCCAGAAACAGAGATGAAGCAACACAGCCCTTTTTCTAGCTATTTTGACAGCATTTCTGTCCAAAGCAGCACTAGTTTCCCCTGCTTGGCTCCCATAACATCTCAGACACTGGCTGTCTCCCAGCAGCTTCCCCTCACCCCGTGCCATCCTTGGGCTTCACCTCCACAACCCTCTGCAGCCACCCATCCTACAGCTTCACCTTTTCCCCCACGGCCAAGGGATCCCAGTAGGACCATTTCACCTCCCCACAGCAGACATCTCTCCAGCTGTGGCTGTCACTGCTTTCCAACTCTTTGCTGTGAATGCCTTGACACTGACAGCCTTTGGTGCCCTTCTGCATTTGGTGGCCTGGAGACAAGCCCCATCCAGATCCCCCAAAGGTGCTGCTGCTCACTCAGCTTTCAGGGGATGAAAATGCAGTTTCCGGTAGGTAAAGGAGAGAGATGCTCCACTTTCACCCCTGAGTGAGTGCAGCTTTGTGAAAGAGATGACCCAACAACTCGTGTCCTTCAACCACAAGGCAGAAGGAACTCCCAACCTGCCTCTTACCTACTTGCACACTGAACAAAAGCTAAGAGATCCATGCAGGACTGTCCATCAGGAGGTGAGAGCTGGTATTTATTGTGCTGTAACAGACAGTGCTGGTTGAAAAGGGACTAGGATTTTTGTTGTGAATCAAGTGTTGGGGCCATTCCTGTGGGTCTCTAAGCAGCGTGGAGCAGAGCTGAAGGAAGAAAGATGGGGCTGAGAGTGGGGGAACCAAGTGCAGAAATGTGCTTCCAACTGTACCAACAACACTGTACATGGGCACCTCTCAGGTGACAAGGGATACAGTTCAAGTATATAACTCATTAATTAAGCAGAGCAGCTAATCTTAGCACTAACAAACTCTAGCTCAGGTAATGTAACACTTAAAATGAAGAGATTGGACAGAATTCATTCACAGGAAAGATTCCCATGCCTGGGTTAGGTGAGAGCTACTGTTAGGATGAAATTACTGCAGCCAGGACCAAAACAGGACACCAAGGATTACAGGGACAAGAAGAATCCATACGCATCAGCTCCAGCTGTAACCAGAGGTGCTGTGGGTCTGGATGAGGCTCTGGATTGGGATGTGGAATCTCACTACTGTCTGAAAACAAACATGACTGTGTGGGACACGTAGAGCAGGACATGCCGGTCACCCGGGGCGGGACCCGCGGCGGGATCAGCAGAGAGCAGCCAGGCTGCAGGGACTTGCTTGTTCTTTTCCTCCTCCTCCCTCCTTCCAAAAGTCTATCCCAAGGGCACTGCAGTTCCATTCAAAACTCATCTTCGGAGCTGTCGGCGAGGAGCATGACCCGGTCCTGCATGCTGTTGAATTCCCGCTGCTGAGGGAAGAGAACCAACATGAAAAGTTCTGCCCCCTCCAGGGGCAGAAAGGAAATGAAGAGCATTTGGGTTCCCCCCGGGTTCTACCCAACACTTCAACCCAGACAAACCATCACCAAGCTGTGCTGGCTTTCCAGCCCCAACGGTTAACTGGAAAGTGGGTGGGGTTGGGGTTTTCCTTTGCCGTACCTTTCTTTTATGTCTCTTTGAGCCATTTCTCCTTCGGCGATTCATGATCTTGATGCTGTAGAGAGCTCCCAGGATAAAGAGGGCCCCAGCTATCCCCACTCCCACAGGAACCAGCATCCCCGACATGTATCCTGCCTGTGTGGAAAAGAGACAAGCAGAACAGCACTCCAAACCATTCTTTCAGAGTTGTTTTTCATCTGCCCAGGACTGCAATAGATCCCCTTTCTGCTTTCATCCAGGTTTACTGTATTTGAGTCCCTGTCACACACCTGCGTGGGATTAACCCTGCTTCAAGGATTGCTAAGCAAGGCCCCAACCAGCCCCACTCCAGGATGAAGCTGGTAACCACCACAGCTCACTCACCATCTGCTTTTATTAACAGACACTGCCCTGAGACAGCAGAGACACTGTGGTGTTTGCCTGCCTTCAGGAGGGGAAGTGATCTTGGTGCAGAGCAACTAGTGGCGGGGAGAAGTGCCTGTTCATATGGGTGCAAGGGTAGAGGAAAACCTCAGATGCCAAGGGCAGGCAATCCTGAGCCACAAAAAAGACCTTTCCCCAACACAGGAAGGATATGGATCTTCTGGAGAGCCCAGAGGCCACAGAGATGATCGAAGGGCTGGAGCAGCTCTGCTCTAGAGACAGGCTGGGAGAGTTGGGGTGTTCAGCCTGGAGAAGAGAAGGCTCCAGGGAGACCTGAGAGCACCTTCCAGTGCCTGAAGGGGCTCCAGGAAAGCTGGGGAGGGGCTTGGGACAAGGGCAGGGAGGGATAGGATGAGGGGGATGGTTTTAATCTGAAAGAGGGGAGTTTAAGGTTAGACATTAGGAAGAAATTATTTAGTGGGAAGGTAGTGAGACACTGGCCCACAGGGCTGCTCCAGCCCTGGAATCATCTTTGTAGCCCTTCTCTGGACCTTCCTCCAACAGCTCCAAGTCTTTCCTGTGCTGAGGGCTCCAGAGCTGTACACAGCACTCCAGCTGGGGTTTCACCAGAGCAGAGCAGAGGGGCAGAGTCCCCTTCCTGGCCCTGCCAATTCCATACCTGTGATCCATATGTTTGCCTCAGCCAATTCAAAAAACCCCAAAATTCACCACGTACTACCAGCATAAACCAAGGCCCAGGTCTGTGCCTGGCCATGCTCAACAGAGCTCAGCCCAGATTGCCAGGAGCTCCCATCACACTTCATGGCACTAATCCGGACCAGCAGCCTGGTGCTGAATGGTGCAGAGCAGAGTGCCCCAGCACCCTCTGCTCACAGCCCCCTGCACCCACCCATAGGCAGAGGAGCTGAGGCCAAAGAGGCCCCCCAGCTTTCCTGGAGCCCCTTCAGGCACTGGAAGGTGCTCTAAGGTCTCCCTGGAGCCTTCTCTTCTCCAGGCTGAACACCCCAACTCTCTCAGTCTGCAGAGCAGAGCTGCTCCAGCCCTGGGATCATCTTTGTAGCCCTTCTCTGGACCTTCCTCCAACAGCTCCAAGTCTTTCCTGTGCTGAGGGCTCCAGAGCTGTACACAGCACTCCAGCTGGGGTTTCACCAGAGCAGAGCAGAGGGGCAGAGTCCCCTTCCTGGCCCTGCCAATTCCATACCTGTGATCCATATGTTTGCCTCAGCCAATTCAAAAAACCCCAAAATTCACCACGGATAATTTAAAATCACACTTTGAAATATTTAACATCACATATGCAAACACTTAAAATCCTTTGGAAAATATTCCCAAGTGCTCGTTGTTTTCCAATTTGCTGTTTGAAATGAAAATCAACCCATGTTCCACAGTGCCAGATTTCCTCAGCACCCTCTGCTAACTCAGGCTGGGGGCAGTGAGGGGTGAGCTCCCTCCCTCATTAGCTCTGCCTCCATTCACACCACACCAGGAGTCCCCTGCTCTGCCACCACAGCTTTGCCCTTCACCATCTACACTCCCCAAAAAGAGATTTCACACCTGCCAAGGGACACGTGCACAATGGAGAGGCTCTCAGGCTGCTCTCAGCCAGCCTCAGCCCGTTGCTCACAACTGCTCATCTACATTCCCAAACTGCAACACAGCTCAACAACACACACACCATCACTGCTCTGCTTCCAGAATCCCCTGAGGAGGGGTGTGGGGAAAAGCTGTTCTGTGGGCACTGCCCTGCCTACAGGTGTTTACCTGGAGAATGAAAATAAGACACAGTGCTCACGTGGGCTGCTTTGCTCTCCCAAAATCCCCTCCAGATCCTGCTTGGTGCTATAACACCTTTGTGCCTGGATCCCAAGGCTTGAGGGACGTCCAGCTGCACCGTGCGGGTCCCCTGAAGGTCCTCCCAGAACATCCAGCCCTGCTGAGCCCAGGAGCTGGGATGGGAGCTGTGTCCCTGCACTCCAGGCCCCGAAAAAGGAGGTTAGTGAGAACACAGCTCAAAGCCTCTATCCCTGCGAGGCAGTTCAAGTGCTTTAATTGGGTGACCTAATTAGTGCAGCCTGAGTTTGCTATTTCTGGAAGTTTGCTGCTGGCGTGGGCACTGAGGGGAGACTGGAAATCTCTCTCTAGCTGCTGCTCAGCTGAGTTTCTGCAGCAGAAACCACCAGTTTTAGCACAGTGAACAAACTGGCTCCTCCACAAGCCTTTATGACCCCTGGCCAGCCCCTGGCACTTTACAGGCTTCTCTCCACAGCCAGCCAAGGATTTCTCCCCAAAAGACTGACAGGGCCAGGACCTGTTCTCCCAGCCCCCACTGTCCCACAGTCATGAGGGTTTCTGCTCTTACCTGATAGGAAACCCCATTCCCCAGGCAGCTCCAAAGCCACGTTTTCACCCCTTGCCCATAAGGAAGATGCAGCTTCCTTACAGATCCTAGGGATGCTTATACAGCCAATCCATGACCTTCCTTGCTCCACTGGACTTTGAGATAACAACAGAGACCTCCAGAGAAACCTCACGCCCACTGTTTGGCATACCAAACACAACATTTGCCCAGTGTTTCCAGGAGACCAGACATAAATCTGTCACTGACCCATGCTCCTGGTCCCACAGTCCCCAAACCCTCCTCTCTCCCAGCAGGGCAGCCCTGATGGACACAGGAGGACACATCTCTCTGGGATGGGGCAGTCAGGTGCTGGAATCCTCTTCTGGATGGAGGGATTATGAAACAGAGAGGACAGAGAGGACACAACTGGTGCTGCTAAGATCAATAAGGAAGAGAAGGAAAAGGGGTGAGCAGGTTTATTTGGGAGTGATTTGCTTCACCAACATTCAGCTGGGGGTGGGGGAGTGGGTTTTGTGGAGCTTTTCTAGGGGAAAAGGTGAGCAAGGTGAAATATCTGCCTCTGCACCTCTGCCACTTCCCAGGGGAGGAGGTGGCTCAGGGCTGAGGTTCTCTTTGAGAGGCCACTAGCAGATCTCTAGTTACACCAGTGCTTGTGCTGGGCACTGCCATGCGGTCCAACATCTACCTGCAAGACATTCAGACCCTCCAGAGCAATTCTCTTGGAGTCTGGACCACGCACCCCCACCCTGCAATGGGGAAGGACAGAGGTAGCCAACAAGGTGCCAAGAGGAAAGAAGTTACAGCTGCAGTGAGAAGGTGCCTGATGCCCCTGAGCTCGTGCTGTGCTGGCTGGGGAAGGTCTGGCATGAGCAAGTGACCCGTGCACACTCCAGGCACCCCAGGCACTCAACCAGTCTTGGTGTCTGCTTTTTACCTTCGTTGGGAAAACCATTCTCTGTCCTTCCAGCACTCGCTCTGGCTGAATCCCAGGCCAAGGTGCTCTGCTATGAGCATAGATGACACTAGACATGTCTCCTTCCTATTGTAGGCAGAAAAGCAACTCAACAAGGGCTGGGCAGGAACCCACCTTAAACCCCTCCAGTCCCCAGTCCTGGAAAAGAGATACTCAGACTGCAGCCCTCTGGTCAGTTGTGATGGTAAAGTGCTGCTGAAATTTGGTGGGTACCACACAGAAAGGCTGAGCTTCTTGGGGGACAATCTGCTCATGCTTAGAGAAGTATTTTCAGGGGCTGGAGTTTCCTGTTGAGCCATTATTCCCTGTGCTGTTTGTTGTTGTTTTATTTTTTCTATTAACTCTGACTCTATTAAAAAAATTCCAAGCCCTGTTGAGTCACAAAATGTTCTTGTCTTTAAACACCTTAAAGTCACCTCCTTTCTACCTTCACAGCTTTGCCATCATCAACACAACATTTGGAAGGTTTCGCAGCCATTTCAAAATGTTAATATTTCCCCTAGGGTAGCAGGAGCTAAAAAGGCATCACTGACTGTGGCTGGCATAGCCCTTCCTTCTTCATTCCAGGAACCACCACCCTCTAACACCAGGGATAAAAGATCAGGGTCTGTCATCTCCTCAGTCTTTCTGTGTTTGCTGTGTTTCCTCCCAGGAATCAGCAGATCTTCTTGAATGAACAGGCAGGAAATGTCTCATCCAGAGGCCATGGTGTGGCACAGAGCCTCTCACCACAGAGGATCACAAGATCCTCTTGGTTTAGATCTACAACCAAGCTTAGGACCTTGAGGAAAGGGATGGAGGTAAATGAGAGGGTGATAAAAAAAATATATAACTCTGATAATCTGAAGAGATTATTTCCTAGTGCAGAAAAGTCCATCAAATGCCCCTGTCCCTCACTCTGCTCTTAGTTGCTACTCATCAGGGATGCACAGTGGATGGACACCATGGAAAACAGCAGCAGCATCTGGTTCATTGCCTCCCAGAGAAAATTTTAAGCCCCTTTTCAATTGTCTTTGTAGAGATAATTGACTGCACCGACAAGAGTTTATTCCTGCAAATAAAAATGGTTTTGCTTTTACAGTCATTGAAACACTGAGCCTCCTACCTTATCTTTCAGCTTCTCCATCCAGCTTCTCACTGAAAAAAAAAAAGACAAAAAAGCTGTAATCATGTTACTTACATTAATTAGGATCGAATGATAATCATAGTATTAAAACAGACACTAATTGAGTTGACAAGCTGATAACACTTTTCATTAGATTTCCTCCCTTCTCATTCATGAAAAAGCAAATGCAGCAAATCAGCAAGAGAAACTTCAAGCACTTTGGCAGGCAAGACACTTGCTTTTGCCTGTGCAATTCACATCTTCAGAGTGATTAAAAGAGAAAAAAACAATTATTTCAGGTTGAGGAGTTTTAAGCAGCACTTCACACACACACCCTGTGTGACAAAAACTTAGATCATTGCTACACCCTTCCACTAGCCTCCTCCACAGATTCTTCCCTCTCTTTGGCATAGCCTGGAATGGTGCCTAAAAAAGTGCTATTTCATAGAATCACAGATGGTTTGGCTTGGAAGGGACCTTCAAGACCATCTAGTTCCAACCCCCCTGCCATGGGCAGGGACACCTCCCACTAGACCAGGTTGCTCCAAGCCCCATCCTGTCTTTTATTCCCCTGCTTTTCTGGAAGCAACTTCTGCCTGGTCTGGGAAGGCACCAGATAATGTTAAGTCCCGTGAATATGATACCCAAAAATACCCTTTCATGGCATGTGCTTTGGGGTAAAATACTCAGCTCATCCCACAGAGCTCCAAATGCTTATTAGCAGTGATTGCACGACTCATTAACTCCACAGGCAACTGGATTTGTCTGCACTGCACTGGAGACAAAATGTCCAGCCTTTGAGATACCCACTAATGTTTTAACAAACTCCTGCCCACAGGTAAAAGGGAGACAAACAGCCAAATGTTGGGTTTTTTGCAGAGTCTGGTAGCTGTGTTTTAAGCCCTGGTGAAGGATTTCTGTGTCTGCAGGAGGCACAAGAGGACTCTGGGATGCACCAACCTTCATCTGAAGAGCACTTCTCCCAGGGTACATTAGACCCCAGATGTTAACACACCACTTATGGAGAGAGCCCCTATTTCCAAGCCTGCTTTTTCATAGAAGCTCCCTTCACAGCCTGTGTTAGCAGTGTTAGAACCTGTCTAATGCACACACACCACTCAGGGTAACCATCCTACTGAAATCAGAGCCTTCCTGTGGGTGGGAAGGTGCAGCATCAGTAAATGCCCTTTTCATGCCTGAGGTTCAACACAGAGAAGCACAGCAGCTGGGAGGTAATAAGGCTCAGCCCAGATGGCAGCATCACTGAATTCAACTGCATCATTTGAACATGTTCAAAGTGATTTGAATACTCCCTTTTTAACTTCTGGTAACAGAACACTTTCCAAACAGAAGGGTCCCAAATAACCTGGAAGTGAAACAAATGTGAAAGAGGCCAAGGCACATGCACACAAACTCATTTATCTCTGACAGGTAGATGAGCAAAAAACTAAGTTATCCAGGAGACAGACACCCACAGCACTAGAAGGGGACAAGAGATCTTTTATTACCTCTTCCCACCATTAGTCCTGACCTGCATGGACTCAGCTGTAGTAAACTCAATTTAGGAAGGTGCCATCAGCACCATCCTCTGCCAGCCCAGGCCTGCAGGCCTTGAATGTCACTCCCCATGGAACAGAGAAGAGGAGGGAAACACACAGTCCCCCTGGGCAAGGTTTCTCAGCTGGGATTCTAGACGTAACACCACAACAAACACTGGGTGTAAACATCACCCAGAGCTGCCACGCTGCTGCTGCCTTACTGACAGACACAGGAGAGACCAAACACCAGGAAAATTCATTTAAACCCAAGGGTATTGCAAGCCAAAGGAATTAATCCCAACATTCTTGCCAAAGAGCCCTAGCACGACTCGCATGTTTAACAATATGACTGTGTTTTAATCCAGGGTCCCAGGAGGACTGTTGAGAGTGACTCACAGTCACACAAGAGCAGGCACAGCTTCCAAATCACCCTGCACATTTTGGAGCTTTGGGCTGATGTTCTCCTCCCTGCACATCCAGACAGCTACACGTGCACACACATGTACACACAGGTGCACATGGTATGTGCCTGCAGCCAGTTCAAGCCACTGGGATGCCCACTTGGCCCCAAAGCCAGCTCAGCACAAAGCCTGGTTTTCCATACCTTTCACAATAATGAGCTGGGATGGGTGATCTCATCAATAGTTGACCCACTTTCTTGCAGCTGAACAACAACAGTGCCTCTAAAGCACCAAGGAACTCCAGACTATTCCTGACCAGTCACGGGCAGGAGCTGATCTAATAATATTCTACTCCTGACTTCTGACAAACACAAATTCAGGTTTCATTCCTCTCTGCCCCACAAAGCAACAGCAGCACGTCCATTGGGACAAACCTTTATTTGCTATTTATACAATTGCTTATTATGACAACCAACCTTGTTCTCAGCCCTGCAGAGCACGTGGCAGATGCCCTTGTGAATCAGTCCAAGCCACAGAGAAACAAACACAACACGAGTTCTTCTCCAGACTGGACACCCCTCTGAGAATGTTCTAGCACAGTCACAAGCTGGCTGGGTGAAAGCCAGTGCTAGAGGAAAATAATGGTCCCAAATTCAGAAGGCGAAGGCTGTCGGAGGTCAAAATGCTGGTTTTACTTCAATGTCCCATCAAGACAGCAGTGGTGGGCAGAAGCAACAGGTCCAGGTCTCCCAGGTGGGAGCAGAGAGCATGAAGCACCTGCAGCCGTGGTCCTGCACCTCCCGGCTTGCAGCCAGCTGGGCTGGGGCCATGGTGAGCCAAGGAGCACTGGATTACTGAGAATTACCAACACTTGAATAACACTAATGGACAAAACAGTTTTATAGAATCATAGAAACACAGACTGGTTTGGGCTGGAAGGGAGCAACCCCCCTGCATGGGCAGGGACACCTCCCACCAGACCAGGTTGCTCCAAGCCCCATCCAACCTGCCCTTCAACACTGCCAGGGATGGGGCAGCCACAGCTTCTCTGGGCAACCTGGGCCAGGGTCTCACCACCCTCATACTAAAGAATTTCTTACTAATGTCTAACCTTCATCTCCCCTCATTCAGTTTAAAACCATTCCCCCTTGTCGTCTCACTCCCTAACCTTGTAAAAAGCCCCTCCCCAGCTTTCCTGAAGCCCCTTCAGGCACTGGAAGGTGCCCTAAGGTCTCCCTGGAGCCTTCTCTTCTCCAGGCTGAACACCCCAACTCTCTCAGCCAAACACCTTTTAATACCTCTAAGGTCTCCAGACTGGACACCCCTCTGAGAATGTTCTAGCACAGTCACAAGCTGGCTGGGTGAAAGCCAGTGCTAGAGGAAAATAATGGTCCCAAATTCAGAAGGCGAAGGCTGTCGGAGGTCAAAATGCTGGTTTTACTTCAATGTCCCATCAAGACAGCAGTGGTGGGCAGAAGCAACAGGTCCAGGTCTCCCAGGTGGGAGCAGAGAGCATGAAGCACCTGCAGCCGTGGTCCTGCACCTCCCGGCTTGCAGCCAGCTGGGCTGGGGCCATGGTGAGCCAAGGAGCACTGGATTACTGAGAATTACCAACACTTGAATAACACTAATGGACAAAACAGTTTTATAGAATCATAGAAACACAGACTGGTTTGGGCTGGAAGGGAGCAACCCCCCTGCATGGGCAGGGACACCTCCCACCAGACCAGGTTGCTCCAAGCCCCATCCAACCTGCCCTTCAACACTGCCAGGGATGGGGCAGCCACAGCTTCCCTGGGCAACCTGGGCCAGGGTCTCACCACCCTCACACTAAAGAATTTCTTCCTAATGTCTAACCTAAATCTCCCCTCCTCCAGTTTAAAACTATCACCCCTGCCCTCTCACTACTCTCTTGGGTGAAAAGTCCCTCCCCAGCTTTCCTGGAGCCCCTTCAGGCACTGGAAGGTGCCCTAAGGTCTCCCTGGAGCCTTCTCTTCTCCAGGCTGAACACCCCAACTCTCTCAGCCAAACACCTTTTAATACCTCTAAGGAAATTACAAGCCACTGTTTCACTAAAACTAAGTGTTTAATGCTCCAGTGCTTCAACCATATGTGGCCACTACTGGTTCTGGGTAGGATAGAAAGCATTTTTTCAAGTTAGAATTATTATCCGTGCTAAATGGCTACCATCAATTATTTCTGGACTACACACTGTAATTATGCATCATTACCCATAATTAATATTCTGAACTTGGTCTTGGAGAAGGAACATTATGGATGGCAGTTTCTCCTAAAAATGCAAAGCTCCCTGAAAACACCAAGTGATTTGCCAGTGAGGCCCAGCAAATTATGAATAACAAAAATCCCAATCCATGTATTTTTCAGCACCTTTTTTTTTTTTTCCTTCCCTGATCACAGAACGTTCTGAACAAGTGGCAACCACCTCTGAGTGTGAAATTCCTAACATGAGTCTGCAGTTCTGGTTCCTCTTCCAAGGCATTTTAAGGATAGTGACCAGTCCAAACTCTCTGCCTCAGCTTCATTTTTATCTCAGTGAGCTGAGTTAGATCAGTGTGGAGCACTTCTGAAAATTACATACATAATCTGACATTTCCTCATTGGTTTATATAATGTCTGCATCTCTGCAAATTCATTTTAAATCACATATTGCTTAAGATTAAGCAGGTCAGGAGCACAGAGGAGGAGCACGGTTGCCTGGCATTGGCATCAGAGCAGCCCAGGTTGACTTCAGACAGTTTCAGATGCACCATGATATTTATAGTCATTTTTACCCCTTGAAAATATGCAGCCAGCTCTTAAGATGCCACAGCGCCAGCTGAAGAAGTTAGGTCAATCCACAGAGGTAACCAGGAGCCTGTTTGGCTCCTCCTTGGAGAAACCTGGTCTAAAGGGAGAGTCAAAAAGCCCCGTGAGTAAAATCTTCCTGAAGTTTGGGTTTTGCCAAATTCAGGGTGCAGGCTCAGGAGAGGGACAATATGTAACATTTGAGGGTCTGCAGTGTATGGGACTGGGTGGCCCAGCATCTCCTTTCACCACTGAACTCTTCAATGCTATAAATCCAAACTAACCCTC